GCTGAAGGTACTCCGGGTTTAACAATGACATCGGGACGTCAGTCATCTCAGTCCCCGTGACCATGGGTGCTGGAAAGCGCCCGAAACGTCGGGAATTAAAAATAAAAAAGTAAAAATAAACGCGATAAAATCTGTAAAAGTAGTTTTAATCATTTTTTGATTTTTTTTGTTCAAAGTGTAGTTTTATTAAAATTTCCATCTTTACCGCCAAAATATGTATGACTAAAGTAAAGCATAGAATATACTTTTTAAAAAGAAGTATAAATTATTTCTTATTTCTTTCATTATGAGTAAACTATTTATAAGAATTTATAATACGATACAAATCTAACCAACTTTTGGTTCAGTCGTGCATGGTAGTACTTCATACCGATAGATAAAACTACTGCATTAATTTTGCAAATTTTTTAGCTAAGATGATTGAACTAAATCAGCGTGGCATGTCATTATGCGCGACTCAAACGCGTGATATACGCGGATGAAACCGCGGGGCACAGCTAGTATTTTATATTTTTATTGGTTTATCATCAGAAGTAGCAACCACAATCGAAAACTTTTTCATTAGAAACTTATTCGAACGTGGATCCCCATGATTTATTATGTCGACAACATATTATGAACAAATTTACGTAGGTATTTAGACACTCATTAGGAATTTTACTTTTTTTATACTCATTATTAAAAATTGCCTTTTTATATTTAAAAAAAATTAAATGCCTTTTTTCTAAGAAAAAATGTATTTACTTCAAGTATTTATTTTATTATCTATGTATTTCTGCCATCTCGGGGGAGTTCATATATATTTTTGCGACAGAACTCTGGGGATCTGGACTTTACAAATTTATTGAAGACATTTTGTACCGCTCCTAAAATTTCACGCAGATAATTCCGAAATGCTTTTTTTCGACTTATTAAATACAATATTTAAGGCTAGCTGAGAGGTGTAGTCTAATGCTAATAGCCTTTACCGTTCCTCATGAATTTGTCTGTCATATACAAAAAGAATTTATCAAATCGCTTTGGTAGTTCTAGAGATTAGCGTGCTTAAACAATAAAAAAAAACTTTTCCGCTATATATAGATAAACATCTGCTGTTATTGATACAATGGATCTCAAAAAGCTATTGAAGTGAACTATAATACCACGGAGTGACCACAAAACAGACGCTGTTACTTTTCTATGGGTAGACTTTACCTTAGGGCATTGTTCAGGTATTTAACCTGAGTTCAGCCATTGTGTTTTAGCTTATGATTATAGTAGAAAATCCACTATTCATCACACGTCACAATTCTGGCCAAAACTCTTTCATTTCTGTACTTACGTGGGACCACAGCTTTTAACGTCTTATATGTATATTGTATAAGGATTACTCATCTCCGGGATTTCGATGAAAATATTCAAGAAATTGACGAAATATAAAAATACAAAGTGGATACTCGATTTCTTCATAATGCCGAGAATTTTATCCAGGATTTATTTATTTAGTACTTCGGCTTGATCCTTATCCTGACTTCATTAAAATCCAGCGAGTTAACATCACAAGCACAGGCAAAACTAATCCTACCTGCACCTATGCCATTACCACACAAAAATTTTTAAGATTTATTTTTCGAATGTTTATTGCCTTTATAATAATAATAATAATATTATTATAAAGGCAATTATTTACTATTATTGTTGAAATTAACACATAGTTTCAACAATGATATTAGAATGGAATTTGGAGTAGATAAATGTGCTGTCTTCAACGTAAATAGGGGCAAAATTAAAGATTGTAATTATTTTGCAATTACAAATGACTTACATCTCAGTTCTCTTTCTGAAACAGAAACCTATAAATACTTGGGCATGGCAGAAGCGCTAGGAATTAATGACAAAAATATTAAAGAAAATTCAAAAGTAAAATTTATGTCAAGATTAAAAAAAGTTATCAAAAGTCATATATCCGGCGGAAACAAAATTAGAGCATATAACTCCTGGGTAATACCTAGCCTTCTATATACTTTTGGCGTTACAAGATTGTCTCAAACGGAATTGGATGACTTAGATAGACGAGTCCGTACATTAATGACTACGCACAGAATGCACCACCCACGATCATCTGTCATGAGGTTGTATCTTCCAAGAAAAGATGGTGGACGGGGCTTATTAAACATTAAAAACCTACACAACCGTGAAGTATACAACCTCAGAGACTATTTTATTAAAAAAAAGACACATCACATATTCATAATGACGTAGTGATTAATGACAAATCATTAACCCCGCTTAATATGTCGGCAAAGGACTGGCAGAGGCCTCATACTATGACTATAGATGAACGCAAAAAGGTTTGGAATGACAAACAACTGCATGGTCGATTTTTTAAAGCATTGACTAATCCTTATGTAGACATGGTTGCATCAGTACATTGGTTACAATTTGGTGACCTTTTTGCAGAAACTGAAGGTTTTATCTGTGCAATACAAGATGAAGTAATTAAAACGAACAACTACCGGAAATACATTTTGAAGGACGGCACAGTTGACGTTGCGGCCGGGGCCTGACGTTGTTCAACTACGTGGTATAACCAAGTAGCTAGAATAATACACCAACAGCTTGCCATTAAATTTGACTTTACTCAACAGGATGTTCCATATTATAAGTATGAACCAAAGCCAGTCCTTGAAAATAGAAGTGCCACGCTGTACTGGGATCGGTCAATTATCACAAACAGGTTTATAGTGGCAAATAAACCTGACATTGTGGTGATAGACCGAACTACACGCAAGGCAATAATAGTGGATATCAGTGTTCCTCATGACGAGAATCTCGTAAAAGCAGAAAATGATAAAAAAATAAAATATATCGACTTGGCTCATGAGATTGTCGCTATGTGGGACGTTGATTCTACTATTATTGTACCAATAGTTGTATCAGTCAATGGACTTATTGGTAAAAATATGGACGATTATCTGTCCAAGTTAGGTATGGGAAAATGGCTGAAAGCATTAATTCAAAAATCGGCCTTATTAAATACGGCTCGAATAGTAAGAAGGTTCCTATCTTTGGATGCCTAACTTCACCGATGGCTTAGAATTACTCGCCGCGGTGGATAATAGCCGAAATAATAATATTATTTATATAGATTGTACTTATATTTATAATATTATAGTTTTGTGATAATATAAGTGATCATATAATAATAATATTATTTATATAAATTGTATTTATATTTGTAATATTATAGTTTTGTGATAATATATGTGATCATATAATAATATAATACCCCATAATAATATTTATTGAGTCCAAACATACGTTACATAAAAACAAAAACTTATAAAATTACATTGACAAGAGGTAATCTAACTCAATACTATATTAAGGTACCTTTGGCAACCGTGCTAGATCACAGACCTGTGTTACAGCTGCTAAGGCCTCCCCATTAAATACATTCCTCCCTGTTAAAAACGGTTTTACCGCAATCAAGAAATGAATTAAAGTGGGAAAGGAATAAAATAATTAGCTATGTGCTATGTTCTAATCCGACCAATGGCTCAATACTATTATAGCTAAATGTTTAGTTGTATGGTACCTACAAGAGTAAGGCAGGAGAGATATTCTATAAAATTTATGGAATATCTAAATAATATAAATAATATTAATATAAGTGTGTGACACATTTAATGTGTCACACACTTATATTAATATTCAAATGTTATAGTAAACGTTTACAAGAACTTATTCTATTTTCCACATATAAAATAATTGAAACGTAGTGAGTAGTGACTCAGTTAATATTACACACATCAACATACAACATTTACTAAAAACAATAAAATATAATATGCAAAAGTTCATTTAATATTGGAGATTTGTTAATCATAACCAATATTACAAGTTTAGAAAGTCTACTAACAACTAACTAATATCTATACAAATACTGAAATTTCTGACAAAATTATTGTTCCAAAAATAAAAATAACTTGTTGCAAAAACGCTTCAGGATGGACATGTTCCTTTTTATCCCTTCATTCATTCCATCCACCCATTACAACCTAGCCTAAAAGCCCACCGCTTGCTTTTTTTTGCTTTTTTTGCCTCCCCCAAAGATTGCCTGACAGGAGGGATTTTGCCATAGTTGATACGCTTGGCGAGAAGGTTTTCGACCGCAGTTATTTGTTAATGTGAGTTGTTATCCGGAAGATGCTGCTGCCCATCTTCTACTTCAATTTCCCTCTGTCATCTCTTACGATGCCCACTGGACGATATGGGGTAGTGAATATTCTTACACCACCACTAATACATATTCAGAGACTGGCTCTTGATATACGGGTGTGAGGCTACGATTACCCGAGTCAACACTTTTTTATTCATCATCATTGGTTGCTCACCAATTGCAACTTTTTACTATACTATACTTTTATACGTGGTAGAGCCATTCTGCAGTTATATTAGTAGTACAGTTTTAGCACGAATGGGTCGGCTCGACCAGGGAAGGACCACGCTTTCACAGAATACCAGCGTAAAATGGTAGCTTAATGCTGCTTTGTTTCGTATGGTAAGTGTAGAGAACCGGAGACCCTTTTTACTGGAAACGATGCACTCCATGGCATCTATATTTTGATTCGTAGTCGAGGCTAGATGTAGATGTCTACGGGCCACAGCAACCATTTACCATCAGATGTACTGTTTGCTCGTTTGTCACCCTATCCTATAAAAAATATTATTCCCAATAGATCTTATCCATTTTACTAATTCTATATCCTGTCCTTCCTTCATACTGACTTAATTAATATCAGTATAACCAGCGGATAAGCTGTGTCAAAACAAATTTAGGTTATGGACAACAGCATACGGATAAAATACGCAGTGCTGCATTTTCTTCTCATCTACTCTAAGCATGGTGATAATGGCAAAATTACACTTGGTTGACCTGACAAGCTAATGGATGAAAAGATAAATAGAAAGCCACAAGATTTCAGAATGTTTATTTTATTTTAAGTATTACTTTTAACCTAATATAGGCACCTCTCCCCATCTGCAATATTTCGCAGTATCCAGTCAATAAAGTGACTTACTTTAGTGTAGATTCCTGAAATTTCAAACATTAGCTTAAAAATTGTGACACTTTAGTTGTAGTTATTTTCTCTTACTCTACGATTGTTAATGAGTTACCTGGATATCTGGGGTTAGCGCATCCAATTCCCCAAGAAACGATTCCTGTGAATTAACGGAATAAAATCGTCAAGTGTCGTAGTCATTAAACGGTCTATCTTTAAATATTTTTACAATCTTACCTCTCGCTTTTCCCTCATGATTTTTATTCATACATTGCAGTCTTTTAAGAGTCCACAACTGAACATAGATCTCCCACATAGACAACCTCTAATCCCGGTTTACACACTCGTCGAGTGGAATGGAAAGTATCTAGGAAAGTAGGCAGAGACGTAGTGTGGCTAACACTCGTCATGCCGTACGTCATGCCCATCACTCCCTGTTTTGTCGGTTTTTTGAGCGCGAGTCAAAGGACTAGCAATATGATCGTCATCATTCATCATTATGCTTCATCGTTCAGCCATATTATCAGATGAGTAAATAATATACAGAAAAAAAAGCTATCTCGACGACAACGTATTTTTTTATGGCATTGATATAATTAGCTATAATAAATATGCATACCTCGCACGCCACAACAGTTTCAACATCCATTGTGTTGCAAACGCGAGCGACCTAGTGCGGAGCATCGCGATTAATTGCGCGAGTAGAGCAGTGTGTGGGCAGAGAGTGCAACATCGCGCCAACGCTGCGAGCCGAGCAATGAGCAGCGCAAGGATCACAGTATGACCAGCCAGCCAATAGAGTGACTATTCGCCATAGTAGCCATGCTTTTACGATTAAATTGGGCTGTTATTGGAAAGATGCTGCTGTTTGAATTCCTTCTGTTGCCTTTTACGAAAGTACGGTATGATGTTGGGTAGTACATTCTCTTACGACGCCTATATACGGCTTATCATCAAGACTACGATATTTTACACTATCTTTATATTAACAAAATATAATTTGGTAATTTACCTGCTTGCACATATCTTCCATTACTGTCAAATACTATGAGGGGTCCACCACTATCTCCCTGTAAAAATGATACATTCTGCACGCATTGCTCACCACAAATTGATGATAAAATATCTTCACTATAATACGTAGTAGAGCCACGCTGTAGCTATATTATGGTTGTAGCTAGAATGGGTCGGCCCAACCAGTGTACCACCACGCTTTCACAGAATACTAGCGTAAAATAGCCGCCTAATGCTGCGGTGTTTCGTATGGTGAGTGTAGACAACCGGAGACCCTTTTTACTGGAAACGGGGCATTCCATCATAGTCCCAGCTAAAATAATTTAAATACGAGTACAGCCGTCATTTCTATGTAATATATATATATATATATATTTCTCATCAAAAAATTGAAACACCTACTTTAATACAAAAGAGTTTTCATTCCATGAAAAAAAACGTTATTGTACAGCTGTCAATCTGGCCATTACAATACTAAGTGAAAATTCAAAATTCGAAATTAGAATTTCAGTTGTTTATCCTCTAAATGAAATGAATCACTATTTTCAGACAAATGTGCGTCTACAGTTGGAGACCATTTCACATTTAAAAACTAAAAATTTGCGTTTATCTTTAACGTTTTTGTTTTTAACTTGTTTACTGTGACTTTAAGACGTCTGAAAAAGTTTTATTTCCTAAAATATATGGATACTTCGCACACAGAAGCCGCCCAAGTGGTGGCATTGCTGGATTCTGGACTTAGTCAGCGTGTTGTGGCTCGAATATTGCATCTAAGCCTGTCATCTGTTCATTCTGTTTAAATAAGATCATGAAACTTTGCATACTAACTGAACTAACTATAACGCAGGGCTTATGTTTTTTTTTAAATTACCATTATTTTCACTGTAAAAAGAAATTACCTAAACTATCGGAGTCCTGAAGCTTGGATCCGGGCGGCAGGAAAAAACATAAGCCCTGCTTTATAGTTAGTTCAGTTAGTATGCAGTTTCATGATCTTATTTATTTTATGAATAACAGCGGTTTATTGTTCAGTTTGGAGGTAACTTTGGATTTTTTTCTATCGAGAAAATTTTACGGAATCATGTTTTCGTCTAACATGGTACTTAACATTAACCCTCAACTTTACCATATATTTATTTTAAAATTAACGCTGCAATATTTTTGGCATAACGGAGGATCTTGCTAAGCTATTTGAGGTTATATTTCCCCCTTAAGCGACATTTGATATTCGTAAATAATAAAAAAACCGATAATCTTTACAAAATATAAACTTGCAAGGTTTTTTTGATGAGAAGTATATATATAATATAAAAATAACTGCTATGCTGGTATTTAACCAAGGCCGAGTACCTTTGCTGTTCTAAAAGTCGCATCATACGTCCTTACATATGACGCTTTGATAGCTTGCTAGAGATGGCATAACGATCCTATACCTACTAGTGGTAGCTCAGTGGTTGACATTTGACCGTTTTTAATAAAAATAATTTTGAAAGTTTTTAAGATTCTTTTGTCAAAGAGTTATACCTCTATAATCATCGCATATAATCACTGACCTCCATGTATACTAGTACCATAGACTGGGTATACCCTACAAAACCTATGTGCCGATTTGAAGCCCCGCCATTGAGTGTACGGGAAACTAAATAATTTGTAAATGACTCTTGTTTCGCTCAAAACGTCTAAGAGTATTGTAAAGATTTTAACGAAAAAAAAAGGTTTGTGTTGTGTAGTTTGATTATGTTTCATATAGTAATAAATTTATTTTAGTAACAATGTTGATGTAAAATTCGTTACATAAAACGGTAACATTCCACAAGGTAAGGTATTTAGAGTTTATAATAAAAAAAATTGAACTATTTGAAAATATAAGCTCTTGCATCAAAATTACCTATGTTTGGCATTAAAATTACCTATTTTTGATAAACAATAAAATTCAATAGGGTTGACGAGTTTATTCTCGATAATATTTATCGGTGTTTTTTCAACCTATATCTATTTACAACATTGCAGAATATAGGTTTCTACTGAATCTATACTTAAACTGTGACTTAAAAGCATAAAACTTGTGAATTGGCGTCCGTAGCAAATTGATTATGACGTCAATGATTTGTGGTATTGATTCTTTAATTCAAAGTTAGTAAAATTCAAACTGTCCCTATTGATATTGTTGAAATAGGCATAAAATTTTAGCAGCTTATTGATTTTCTCTATTACAAGGGCTAAATAAATGGTTACCAATAAATTCTTTACATATATATATATATATATATATATATATATATATATATAATATATATATATATATATATATATATATATATTTTATTTTGTTACCTAATCCAATTTTTCCTACTCGTTGGACCTTTTTAAACATCCTGAATGAACCATACATACCCAATGGTGAAACCCGGAACAAAACCCGTTCTATAGTTGTTTCGTTTTTACTGTCCTATCTCTATTATTACCTCCGTGGATGATTACTTCTGCTATCAAAGCCAAAATAGTAAAAATCAAACCACCCCATTATGTCACAGTGTATAGCCAGTTCAGCGTACTTGTATAATACACGTCAGTAATATAATTTACAAAGGAGACGGGCGAATTTGGGCCTAACGTTACACAAGTGCAATATTTATCAATGTTTTTTTAAAGTTTTTTTGTAGTTAATAATGAAATATTAAGTAGTTTTACCACGGCAAAAGAAATTAAATATGTTATAAGAATAATACTGACTTCCGTTATTTTTATTTTTAAGCAATGCTGCCAGATGAAATAGGTTAGTTAATCGATTTTAATACAAAAATAGAAAAAAGACAATAAAAAGTGATTCAGTCTTTTCTTCTTTTTAGGTAAGTTTAAGAAACTTCTTATTAAAATAATGGTTCCCTCGTGACACCTTAACGTTTCAAAATAGTCGTAAAAATAAATTGACTGAATAAATTAATAAATCGATTTCACAATCGATTATCAATGTTTTATACAGGCCACAAAGCGGAAATGTCAACGTTAGTTTAAAAACTAAAAACGTCACTCAAATCATTTGTTACTTTTGTTCACAGAGTACTTTTTTTATATAGGGTACTTTTGTTTGGCTCTGAGCTTGCGGTGCTAGTGAATATTTTCTGTTGTTTTTCTGTGCTGTAATAATATTCCCATCTTTAACGTCTCTGACTACGTATAAAGGATTCTGACGGTTTCTTTTCTGGTTTTACAAGTATACATGTGCAAAATGATAAATGATTTTCCCCAGCTCACACACAGTAATTTAATAAAAATATCTTTAGATATTTATCAAATTAAGTGGCCTAGGTCCCATTATGGTGAACACACACAAGATGGGAGATATGAAATAGAAGTGTGTCTAGTAACGGACAGCAACCTACTAAGAGAATTGTCTTTATTCGACCTCTTAATAGCTACCTATAATGGTACTATCTAACCATTCTAACTGGCTATTGAGAGGTCGAATAAAATCGAGACATATACTTAAGCTCAAAAACATATTTTACATATATTTTAGTTGACAGTCCTCTTAATGGTAGAGAGATCATCAAACAGTATTATTTCAATTATTTGGTAGGAAAAAGAACTGTAGGTTGCTGTTGTTATGTAATGTCCATAATATGGTACCTAAGCTGGGCAAGGCGTCAAGAGAATTTAATACTGCCTGCACCGTTTTAGACGATATTTTATTTGTTTATGATGAAGTGGACGATTAATAAATCATTAAAATAGAAAATGTTTTTAATTCATCCTCCTCCTGCTTTTTTATAATTGTTTCAAACTTCTAGAATTTAGTAGGACGGCGGCGTCTGAATCTTCTATTTGTGAAGGTCCTACAATACATAAAGTTATAGTGATGTCTAGTTTACAACAAAGTCTAATAATTATTTTCTTAAAGTGTAATGTGAGAGCTTGGTGTGAGAATAACATTGTATGCATAGCATAAGCAAAATAACAACCTATATTTTTTTTCTACCATGAAGCACTCGTAAACATTTTAGTTTTTTTTAAATGGTATTGATACATAAATAAAATAATACAGTAATCGTTGCTGTAACATCAGGCCCAGCTTTCTATGAACTTTCGCCCGTCTCCTTTTGTTCTATTAAATACGTCAACTGCGAGCGTTTACAAATAGGTACATAAATCATTAGTGTGTGTTGACAGGAATCGTTTCAATTCCCTGTAATACCTAAGTTTTCCTTTTGCAACACGTGTATATTTACATTAATCTTATATTAACAACCTGTAATTCACCAATTCAACTACATATTAATATATAGAACACTGGCACCTATTATACAAAACGCTATTTTACCTTGACATACATTCCATTAAAAAAGTACTGAGGTACGAAATCTGTCAGTAATTATTTGTCGGCAACGTTTAAAAATTCTTTGACAACAATCTCTGTTCTGTGTGTGTCCACAGAATATTATCTGTTTGACATTGGCCGTATAAACGTTTACAATGAATATTTTATTTTATTTATTGTATTTTAGTATAAATTTTAGATTTTTGCACATCTTCATATAAAATTTAACTATGCTGAATTTCACACTCTTCCCCGCTCCGTGCTGATAAATGAGGTACTAAGTGTTCTCTTCACGTATGATTAATTTACCAAATTTATTTATAAAGTTTGTATAAGTTATGTTTAAATATTCAAACTGGCAACGGGTAGCAGTGAAAAAGGTGTAGGACGTCGGTTAATGCGATCAACAATCCACAACCCAACTGAAAATACATTTTCCAACAGAACAGATAGACGAAAACAATCCTTTATTAATAAACTATCTTTGTACCTCATATTTCTAATGGCTGTTTTCCGTGATGTAAGTGGGCAGTTCGAATCAGTCAACACACTAACACATCAATTCTATGAAATAGTTTATCTGTGGCATGTACTCCATCTCCTGAGCTTACATGTGTGGTTTATAAAAGCTTGTGTTTACACATGTGCGTGACAAATTTTTGCCATTAGATATAAATATTATTACAAAACGTGTATTACATTGGGATGACCGCTAGATGCTTTGCAAAAACTTGTTAGTATTGATACAATACATCTAATGGCTTAAAATACTGTTCATGTACCTGACAACCGTCCTTCCCTTTAGAGAAAGCGCACATCATCATAGGTTTGAGATGTTCCGCCAACCTCGTAGACCAGCATTCTCTGTCAGTAAGTATATTTAGGCTGGCCTTCAAGAGCACATTTGATGCCATTTTGTCAACACCTATACGACCCCATCCGACTATTGTGCCAACATAACCACCAAAGTCTTGCCCTAAATAGAAACAGTTAGTTAATTTTATGTAGCATCTTTGTTTTATATCGCATTAAATCTTAATATATATAAATTACGTGTCACGTTGTTTGTCCGCGATGGACTCCTAAACTACTTAACCGATTTTAATCAAATTTGCACAACGTGTGCAGTTTGGTCCAACTTGAAAGATAGGATAGTTTTTTTGCCCACAATTTTTTTGCGAATTTTAGTATTTTTAATAGGACATGCCAAAGGCTCGTCGAAAAGGGCAGAACAACGTCTGCCTGGCAAGCTAGTACAACATAAAACAAAGATGCTATGTGTTTAATGCTACGGTACGGGAAAAGCTGGAACTTTTAAAAGAAAACAATTAAATGTCATTTTATCAGAAATTTTTTTTACAGAATTTTTAATAATAAGTTATTAATATTATTTAATATTATTAATAAGTAATTACATACCTCGTAGCGGTGGTGTAATAAAATACGCAACCACATAATATCGTTCCGTGGATGTCGTAAAAAGCAATAGAGGTCATTAAAGCATAAAATGGGTAGCAGCATCTTCATGATAACAACTCAAAATAACAAAAACCTTCGGTTGCCAACCCGGGTGCCAAACGTGGCAACTATGGAAAGTAGTCGCTCATGAGACTATCTGTGGGTATGCCTTTGTTCAGCAATGAATTTTGATAGGCTATCATGATGACGGAGATCTCTATAAATACAAAGAAACTTATTCTTTGTTTCGTATTCAGTATAATTATATAAGTAATGCGAAAAACTGTCCGGGTCCATGAAATCAAAACGTCGTAGTATTTTAAAATCTTATTATTTTGATTTTAGAAATTAACCAAATATTTAATCGTTAACAATGTAATGAAAATGCTGCTGTAAACTCTTTGAGCACAGAACTATACCAAAAACATTATCAGACCTAAAGTATCCAAACCTAAATAAAATTAGGGCAAATATTCCAGTAATGGGGTGCCTAACTATACTCTGAAATATTAAGTGCACGAAAGAATTTATACATTCTGTGTACAATCACAGAATGAATAGGGGATATGTGAAGTGCACTGAGAGATAAAATTCTGTATAATAGTTCTTCGCCTCGTTCGATACTTTTACGGGCAGTACTTAGAATAATTTCTCTTTTTATTTAATAAACCTATAATGTAGTCCACAGGCGTGCGAAGGCTTTTCACGTTGCACCCTTCCATTTACTTGACTATTGACAATAATACTACTGACCCGAAGTTCACAGACAAAGCAATTAAAAGTTCATTCTTTCTAAAACTTAATACGTGCCTGGTCTAGGTAAACAAATCGGTGCGATCGTAGCACTGAAAGCAACAGGTTCATTCAGTGTAGCTATGGCGATATCATTCTCGTCTCGCATTGCCGTAGACGAAAACTGCTCGTGTATGACGACTTTCGATATATTTCTCAATTCTACGTCCGATAAGTCATACATATTATCCAAACCAATAAGTACTATCATATTCTTTATATTGTCCCTGAAATTATAGAAAAGCATAGGTAATGAACATATTATTAATAGGCATAGGTAGGTAGGTAGGACCAGTCAGTAATTTTATATATTATATTATAATTTATAATTTCGTGCAAGTTTAATGAATATCAATTATCTGAAATTGTTTAGAATATTTTATTCAATAAGCAATTTACACGATTCCTGAACTTCATTTTGATGTCGAAAAAAATTCTAGACACAGAATTTGTATAAAATTATAGAATTGTAGACGTAGTTGTAACAATTTCAAACATAAACTGTACTCAACACTTTAATAGAAACGCAAATTGTAGATTTTCTGGTATGATTGTATTGTGTTACATATTGTGTTTCTAACACTGCATTCTTGTCGATTTAAGATAAGCCGATGTTAGTTTCTAGGCGTATTGTTAGTAGTATTCTATTTTATATTTTTGATAAGTTGGTAAGGGATAACAAACGAGCACACAGTCCCCATCTATCCCCAATCAAAAATTAATATGCAGATGTGTTGTCATCCTGCATATCTCCGGTACCCGTCACTCACCGTCGATACCTAGCAGCAGTATGCTGTTATGTAACGCTGTCTAGCGAAACATCATATGTAAGACTCGTACTTAATCGAGCCGAGTTCTGTTCCTGGCCTGGTAGTAATAGCTGCTAACGTAGATGAAATCTGGAAGTATATCATCTTATACCAACCATTTAAAACAATGTCCAGCGCTGAGTACATGTTTAACGGAAATCAAAGCACCGCCGCAATGCATACGGCCATGGTTCTTTATCGCTACAGTCCATGGATACGAATGAGGTTCCGCTCTTCTGCCTCCTACTATCCTCATCGAGAGTAATGTTTCTGACGGCTTGCCACATTCTGTGCAATGAAAATAAATATACAAATCGATAAATAATTCCTAATGTAATTAATTTTATTTCTATTCAATGACAATTTGTTATACTATTTGATTATATAGTTTTTTATTGCTGTACTTTTTAATTAAGTTTTCGCCATTATTTATGTGACAAAACTTACAGAAATACTACGTTTGCTTTCATTATGTGATCGAAGAAAATAACACATATTAATGTTCTGGATTGATGATTTTATTAACATTTCGATCGATTCTTATGGTTATGTGTAATTAAAATGTGGCACGTTTCGTCGCAGTTTATTGTTTTCTTATCACATTTCGCATTGCCAATAATTTTATTACGAAGAAAGCAACATTTCTAAGAATTTTACTTACCGCATTCTAATCCCCTTATCAGCTTTACCTAAAATGAAAAATTGCTTGTCTTTTCAGCTGTCGATAACCGAGTTAGATATTTCAAGGGCTTAAAGCACGATAAAATGCTCCGTACAAACCTGAATTATGATGATATAAAGTATAAGAAAATACAACATTTTCCTTTTACTTTTAACACTTGATGCACTGCAGGGCACAGTTATCGCACTGCTTTCTGCTTACGATATTTAATTCTTATTTACTGCTTACGCGGCTTCGCACCGCGGAAATTATCCACGGTAAATGTCCTTGTAAATTTAACGCGCTTTACAATATTAAATAGTATCGAGAAATCCCCCGTTTTCAACTTAAATTATATACAACATAATATATAACAAGACGTCTTAAATGGTTATATACACATACATTGTTTTTTTTTTAAATAAATTCTTAAGTAAGATTGCCATAGTGCAGGTTGCAACCACATAACGTCTAGCAATAAAATATTTATATACAGTAGTATAAAAGCATAAAAATTATTGCATTGGGTAAAATAAAATAATTCGGACAGAGGCATGTTGGCACAGATGGTGGGCACTCACATCTAACGTCACCACTGAAATTAACAACCGCATTTTGAATTGTTGATTTACCACGTAAATCTGCACGTCAGAGAAATTAAAAATATTTCCTGGATATGTAAACCCCATGTAATGTCGTTGAATCTACTGTTTTTCTTGGAATTACAGTCGACATGAAGCTTCAATGGGGCTCTCATATACCTAAACTAGCTAGTAAACTTAGGTCTGCAGCATATGATGTAAAAAGACTATAGGTAGAGTTTACATATGTTGGGTCATATGGAATCTTGCATGCAAAGGATAATGCAACTGATATTGAAACTATCTTTGTTTTGCAGAAGAGAGCCATAAGAGCAATTTATAACTTAGATCCGAGGGAATCCCTTAGAGATTTTTTTTAGAAATAATTATATTAACTTTGGTATTAATAGTAATTTTGAATTTTTTTGAATTTGGTATTAATAATATTAACAGTATACACAAAAACAAAAATAGATTGAACAAGCACAAGTTATTTATATCAGTTACTTGACTCCAAAGAATTAATAATTCCTTCATGGGGCAGTGTATACGCTATTACAACAAAGTCCCAGAAAATATGCTTTATCTAATAATAAAAGTGGTTTAGCAAGTGTTATTATACTACTAAAGAGTACATTATTTTCATGCAAATTGTATAAAATAATATACTGTAAGTTAATTTTATTTAAAAAAGACCCGCTAGGTTTCCTGCTGGTTCTTTCCAGGTTAGTGGTTTTTTCCAAACCAGTGCACAGTGGTAAAGCTTAAATTAAATATCCTTGTAATCTATATTGAATGATTCTATTCTATTCATGCCCATGTGACTCCTACTTTGTAATAGTAGATGTATGTTGTAATAGTAGATAATAAAATCGGAACGAAAAAGTTATCTTTATTTAAACACTGACATACATAGTTTATTTTTCTAAATCAAACATGTTTTGCAACTGGTATGGAGTTATAGTATGTATTAGTGATTATTTTTGTCACATTTTTACAGTTATAAAATTATTATTATACAGTATTGAATAATTTTTTAAACTTATCTACAATACATTCCACCAACTGTTTCACTTTTGATCCAAGGAATATATTTTGACACTATTGTGTAGACACCTGAAATGCACATTTTGAAAATAGTTTACTCTTACTTGAAGCTTTCATTATAGAATTAATTTATAAATATGTAGTAATAAACATTATCAACTGCACACTCATGCACAATAAAAAATGCTTGGTTTATCAGCATAAGCATTAATTTTACCCTCAGGTGGACTGTGTGCTCGTTGGTCACTCTCATTCTTTTAAAATATGCTGTGAAATATTAGAGCAGTGGTGGCTCAGGGGCTTAGCGTTTGCCGTTAATCAACGCGAGTACGCGAGAAACCCAGGTTCGCTCCTCGCTGGCACCAATCAAATTCTTAATTGCAGTTTTGTGTAATAATATATCATGTGCTCGGGTGGTGAAGGAAAACATCGTGGGTAAACCCATATGTATGGAAAATTAAAAAACAATAGTAATTCGAAGACATGTTAAGTCCGTCATGCGTCATGCACTGGGATAGCGCGGCGGACATTTCCTGGCCCTTAAACCCTCTCCGAAACAAGAGGAGGCCAGGAATGAAAAGTATATCAAGTAAAGTTACAGCCTATACAGAGTAATTTTGCAATAATCGGCCTAATTCGCAGGGAAGGTTCAGAATTAGAAATTTATGGTGAAGAAAAATTAATTAAAAAAATCTCAAACATTCTGACCTTTTTATCTTTTAGATTCAAAATGCGTGGTTATGCATTATTTTGAACTGATTTTACTGTGCAAGTACACATTGGTAAGGGTTGATCGGTAGGTAAAAACGTTGTTGCCCATGACATATAAAAGTAAAAGCCTTATTTACTCGTACTTTAAAAAACTGCATTGGTATTATTTATATATTTGAACTTAAGTTTAAAATTTAGATAGTCTGTGAAAAATAACCCTGTATACGTATTAAGTATATAGGCTGTAAAGTTGCTGTGTATATATATATATATATAATATATTATATAATACAATATATAGGCTGTAACTTCACTTTTTTTTACTTTAAACAAGCATTACCATTAGCCATAGTTCTCCTTTTCACATTTTTAATTTCAAGCCTAAGTGATGCGATAATAGGGTTCGGATTTCGGATTCACAAATACTTCGTAAATTAACATGCTCAGAATTTGCGAGTAACCGGATATCTAGGTTTAATTTTTATTTATTTATTTACTCTTTATTGTACACCAAAATACAAAACATCAAGTACAGTTACATCTAAATTAGAATATGTACAATAGGCGGTCTTATCACTCTGTAAGTGATTTCTTCCAGACAACCTTTGCGTGGAGAACTGATGCAAACAAAAGTTAAAATAGAGGGGGGGGGGTACAAAATAATAATAAAAAATATATAAAAATACATACAAATAAAGATAATTGAAAATCATATATAAAGTATCATATAATAAATTAAATGAAAAGGGTACGAGAAAGGGAAAGTAATTTATCTAATAGCGTTCTAAGTAATACGATTTAATAAGACTTTTGAAAATGTGAAGAGATTTAGCACAACGAATATGGAGAGGTGAAGAGTTCCACAATCGCACAGTAGTTACGGTAAAGGATTTCTTAAAAAAGGAAGAAGAGTGCAAAGGTGTAGAGAGAGAAAGATTGACGAAGGATCGAAGGAACCGATTATGGGTAAGGGAAAGATACTGGAAACGGTTTTTTAAATAATGAGGAGTGGAATGTGAGTATTCCTGCGAAGGTGGATCGGGAGCCATTTGAGCTGTTTGCGAAATTCGGAGATGTGATCATATTTGCGAAGCCCAAATATAAATCTAATTCCTAAATTTTGAATGCGCTCAAGCTTATTATGCTGCTCCTCGGTGATGTCAATGTTTGATAGATATATATCCGATTATATTGTTAAGTATATTGATAAGTTTGTATTAACATAATATGCTATTAAAAGCTAACTTCAATGTAGATTAGGTGAGATACATCACTTTGTTATATTACGCGCGTCTTAGCTATTAATTTTAGTATATCTAAAATTAGAAATCTTTATTTAGACTCATATTGATGCTCACCTGGATAATCCGGCAAAGCACAATCTATACCCCAAGATACGATTCCTGTCAAGTAGGCAATATTTTAATATTCTGTTTATCTTTCCTAAATTATATAAGACAAATATATAAGCGATTTTAAATGTTTAACCGACAACATAAATTAAAGAGATTATTAATTCAACTCTATTTTTAGTGTGTCAGTGACATATCACACAATATCTCTTAGTTTAGTTTGTCAATTTTGCTTAAATTTCTTTTTTAAAGAGTAATTGTCCAGAGACTCCACGCAAGTTTAAATTGTGTGCCCGCTTTTCCATCTGTCTCTCACTCTTATGGTCTAATGGAGCGGCAATCCGACTCGACCGGAAAGAGACCATGCACAATATCTACAAATTTTGTGATTTTTGAGATACAGAGCTACATCAATGCGTACTTCCTGATCCCGGGCTGCTACTGTTAACTGATATTGAGGCGACCCGGGATTCAAACTTGGACAGTCAAGCCACGACAATGCAGCATGGCCCTACCACGTTTTTCGACGTGGTAGGGCCACGCTGCAGTAATATTAGTGGCATAGTTGTAGCACGAATGGGTTGGCTCGACCGGGGAAGGACCACGTTCTCACAGAATACCAGCGTAAAATAGTAGTTTAATGCTGCTGTGTTTCGTATGGTGAGTGTAGAAAACTAGAGACCCTTTTTACTGGAAACGAGGCATTCCATCTTAGTCCTCACGGGTGACAACGCATCTGAATTTTTATTCGTAATCGAGGATATATGTAGATTTCTATGGGCCACAGCAACCACTTACCATCAGGTGCACTGTGTGCTCGTTTGTCACGTCATAAAAAAACGACCGAACAATAGTTATAATATAATTGGTATAATAATACCAACGATGCGAGGTTGATTACCAGTCAAAGTTTTTTAAAGGCACTTATGACAATGAGGATTACTAATCATCAGATTAGATTATCAGATGTCGTTAGTTCAGACTGAGGTGAACTTATTTGTCAGACAAATGGTCACACAATGTTAACATTTTAAAAAAGTAGTGTTTTAATTAAAAGATTTTTGGTTTCTAGTTTACGCATATGCAGAAAATAAATCATCAGCTGCGTGCTCTTTAAGTTTTTAGACAGTTTTAACTCTTTTTAAAGTTCTCCTTTTTTTAAGGAGATTCGTTACCTTTTTCTAATCTAATCAATACAAAATATAGTTCAAATATTTCATGAAGAAACATTCGTCGTTACACTTTTCTAACAAAGACAACATTTAACTTCCATGCCAAATGTGTCAAATATTTCACCTCATTCTAATCTGGCACCGCCCTGGTGGAAGAAAAAGTTGAGGAAGCTCTCATAACAACACAGTCTAGTGATTTGGGTGTAGCAGAGTAAGGTTGATAGTGAAATGAATGATATAAAAATTATGTCATTATGTTTCGTGAGACTGAAAATAGGGTAGAAGAGTGTGGTTAGCAAGAAGATGTTTTGGCTAAGATTAAGTAAGTAATGTTTTGGTAGTGTAGACACGTAGAAAGAATGAACAGGAAAATAGTAAAAAGGAAACTTATGTTGCAGTATTGCGTTGCAGCGTCAGCAGGAGACGATTTAGATGGAAGTTTATCAAAATAAGGTTTATCGATCAAATTGGCGATATTTTGAAAATGAGCCACATTAGGAGTACCCTTAACCGACGAGCGTGTATGCGTAGTTAAATGGATGTAAAAGAGGTGTGTCAGGATCCGTAGTCTCTGCCTACTCCTCTGAATGACGGGCGTGAGTGTTTATATTTATGTTTATTACAGGTTTATCAAAATAAATAATACCCTTAACCGACGAGAATGTGTGCTTTAAAATATGTATGTGAAGAAGGCGAGAGTTATGTACCGGGATCGTGCTAAGTGGAAGTATGCAATCTCTACCTATCCCTCTGGGTGACAGGCGTAATAGTTTAATGAATGTGTGTCATGACAGCGGTTCCAATTGTACTTATTTACCTGAGTACACATTTTACACACTTATTACATTTTATTTACCCACCGTGTAGTGGCGGTGTAAGAATATCGTCCCCTGGGTGTCGTAAGAGGCGACATATAACTGAAATAGGATATGGTCAGTAACTTCTTCCAGATAACAACTCAAACTAATACAAAACTGCAATTGCCAACCCATGTGCCAATTGTGGCAACAAAAGCAATATCCTCCCGATGATGCAATCCATCTGGAGAGACCTATCTTTAGCAGTAGACTTATAGGCTGTGATGAATGGAAAGATAGAAATACATTTAAATGAAAAATACATTGGTTCTCAATATAGGTTATGTTTAATTATTTTGGCCTTAATTGACCGAATTAACATATATTTTACGGCTTCACTGGCATAATTTAAATAAAGAAAATATTTACAACTTACCAACTTGATACCATTTTGTATTACGCGTATTTGAATGAGTTGAAAACAATGGTCCTCCACTGTCTCCCTGAAATTAGTAATTATTTTGTCATTTTTATTTACTAAGTACAATGGGATAGAAGCTTAATAGAATCTACTTGTCTACCTCTTATAGAGTTTTTTTTTTTAATAAATGGCAAAATAACGGTCTCAAAGATATAATATACAAGCTTTCCAGGCAGACGTTGTTCTGCCCCTTTCGACAACCCTTTGTCATGTCCTATTATAAATCCTTAAATTCTTAAAAAAATTTTTTTGAGTCACTCATGGGCAAAAAAAAATATCCTATCTCTCAAGTCGGACCAAACTGCACACGGTGTGCAAATTTGATTAAAATCGGTTAAGTAGTTAAGGAGTCCATCGCGGACAAACAACGTGACACGTTTATTGATACATTATAATTTTACTATGTCTGGATATGTTGTCTGTAATTTGTATGCATACGTATAATAATAAAAAAATATAAAGCACCGTACTGATGTATTTATAATTTAAAAAACAAAACGTGACAGAACGGCGCGGCTTGACGTTTTCAATTTTAGCTCCGTTAGTCCTTTGGATTTTTATTTAGAAGATATTTACACGTTGAAGGTGATATTTCTAAATAAATTTTTAGTATTTTTAACTTTCGTTAATTCAAATTCAAATTATTGCACCTTGTTAATTTTGTTATGCTACAAAAAATATGAAGTAATTTAAAGAAGTAATCCCTTATTAAACCAAACGAGGCGGCAGGCATCGCAAGGAAACCCATAGCCTTTTATCAAAGGTACAAGAGTCCGACTTAAGTATCACTCACACTAGATCGTCTATATCCGCGCCGCTATAGAACGGATAACTAATATTACATATATTTTGTATGCACACACGCTATACCGAACGTAAACCACTCGGTCCCAGCTTGTAGTTGAAGATTTATCAGATTCTTCATCGTCCAGAGCGATCGCAATAGCCGCTAATTCCAGATTGTTTGGATCTCGGATCGCTACTACCAACCTTGAACTTGTGGGATGTAATGCCTAATTGTAATTATATCAATAGATTAAATATTTTTATTATTACCCTTGGCACCAGGAACTGAAGAAAGTGAACTTTTAAAGAGACAATTCCTTAAAAGTAAGAATGGAAAACTGCCCAGAACTAAATATTCCACAGAGTTGTTCGCCCTAACACTTAATTATTAATGAAAAGCCAATCGCTATGTACGTAAATTTTTTGTAACATGTCCGTGGTGCAGGCAAAACATATTGATTTGCCTGCACCACGGACATTGACTAAGTGGTCCATCAATGGTTTACTCAAGAAGCGCTGATGACATTAAAATCGAGGGCGAATAGTAACCCTGGTAAAAAATTGTACCTTTGTAATTTTATCATGGATGAAATGAAAATTAAGCAATTGACGAAATATCATGCTAGTAGCCAAAGGCATTGTGGTTATGTTGACTATGGGTTTGATATTATATCCGATAATTTTTATTAGTCGGTATAAACACAACGTGAAAAGTGCCTATAGCTAAATGTTTGATTAAATTAGAAATAGAATCTGAGTTTGATCAGTCTTTCAAAAACTGGCCATTATTCTTTAACTAATAAAATCATAACTTTATAGTACGCTAAAATACCCTTCACTTCTGGCCGTATGAGGAAGCTCAGAGAGCTACGGAGACGAGTGTGCTCGGAGTTTCCTGCATGATAAACTTAGAAATAAGGATATCCGTAGGAGAAGCCAGAGTGATTGACATAGGCCAACGGATTAGTAAGCTGAAGTGTCAATGGGTCAGCCAAAAAGCCTCGTACTGGTAAGCGAAATGTAGGGCAACCCCCAACTAGACGTAGTGACAACCTAGTAAGTCATGCAGGATGCCGATGGATGCAGGTGGTTCACCGTGCTTTGTGGCAATTCTTGGGGGAGACCTATGATCAGCAGTGCACTTGTGAAGGGCTTTAATTAATTAGAAAACACTAAAAATCACTTTCATCAATGCTATTAAACACATGCGGACTATGATGATTTGTTTAACGATAAAATTATCGACATAATCCACGCCCTATGTTGCTTACGCATGTAGACAGCGGCACCATTGTATCGACACTTTTACATTTTGGTGGTACGCGTAAGTGCAATGAACACTAAAGTAAATGCTGTGGTGTGCGCGTATAGTGAAGCGATTCAATTTTGCATTTGTAGTGAAGTATACAGTAGTGTGTTTTCCTCGCTTACCCCGAATTAATACACTTTTTGTTTAGAAATTAACGCAAATGGCTTCTCCAGTTGGTTGAATACTCAAAGAGCACTCCCAAATGCCGAACAACACGTATTAATTGAGTAATACTATTCGCAAGATACAATTGAATTTTAAGTGCTAATTTTCAAAGTCATACAGTCCAAGTAAATTTTCTTCTTTATCGGTCCGTAATTGTCGAATCTATTGTTTATTCGCGATATTTTCTTCAACCGAAGAGTACTAAGTCAAAAAGCCTAAAGATGAAAATAAAAATAATATTGATCTCATGCAGCTCTATCTTCTTTAAATTTCAAATATTTTGTTTGGTTTTCAAATTATTACTATCTTTATGAGCTCGGATAGATGTAGTTCTATGATGAATTAATCCTGAATATAAAATCTTCGGACTAAAGATGGAAAGCAGTGTAAACTTTGCGAAACCTCTAGGACAACGATCGCTCATCCAATTGTTATGGGTGGCGATTATTACAAATCATCATGAAATTTAAAAGAAAGAACTATAAAATCTACTGCCTATTTTTTATTTAAGGAATTGTACTTCCAAATTTTCAAAAAGTCGGCATTACACTATATCTATTTATCATAGACTAGTAAGCTTATAAATTCTAATCATCTACCTGGCAAGCGTCTTTTCCAAGATTGTAGGCACACATCATACTATCGGGTACAAGATTTTCTTTGTAAATAGACGTTTTAATACACTGGTCAGCGTCGACTATCTTGACTCTGGTTTCTTGCAAGTAACGTGAAGATGTAAGAGCTCCCTGTCTTGTTTTTCCCCATCCAGCCACAGCTAGTGCTAAGTCGTGGAAATTCATATCTAAATGAAGAAATGTCGTTCTCGTATTAGCAATAGAAATATCAAAATAACAGTATAAACTCTGAACTATCGTTAGCTTCAATACACTGAAACATTACGGTTCCTAAATATATTTTGATTGTAAGCCATACTTTAAGAAGTTTTTTAAAAATTTCGTCAGTAAGAATGTTAACTACCTGATATCGTTTTGAGAGTGTCGTAAGAGGCAACAGACAGAAACGGAAACAGTAGATAGGCAGTAGCATTGTCCTGATCACAATTCAAAATAACAAAATACTGCGGTTGCAAATCCGCCTACTAAGCGTGGCAATTATGTCGAAATACCCCTTGCGAAGTAATCTGTGGGGAGGCTTAAGTACTGCAGTCAATTTTATAGGCTATAATGGGTGGATGTATCATTTGCATAAAAGATAAATATATCGTAAACACCGTAGACAGAGAAACCTATAGACAAATTGACGCCCTCTTTCGCATTCGCACACGAAAAAGATAGATTTATTCATACGTCTTGCATAGAAATGAGACAGAGCGGTGTAATTGTTTGTCCCTTTCTCCGTGCCGGTTTTTTTTTTTGTTTAGCAAACTACACTTTGCTAAACAACTTTGAGAGTTCGTAGCGATCTAAGGAGTTCACAAGTTGGTTTAAGTGAGAAAAAACTGTTTTGTGAGCTTAAGATTAGTGAATCTTGTTCAGTTTATTTCTTAGAACAATTAAATTTTTTATCTAAATATGTTTAAAAGTCATAAAAATTACGTTATTATTAGTCTATAGGTTTCTCTGTCTACGGTAAACACAGTTTATGTGACAGCAACTATGATTTGTAGATGTTGGTTTACTATATGCTTTCATAATCCTTAAAACGTAAATACCTACAGCATATTCTAGGCTTGAGTAAAAAATATCGAATAACTAAATTTCGATATTTTGTCAAAAAACTATTGATAATTATCGTCAATATTTTTAACGCGATAATTCGAGATTTATTTTAGAGTATCGAATTCGTATCAACTTCGTTATATTTTAAAATGTTATATATATTTTATAATTTAATTTACCAAACATTAAGCAACAATGTCAATCATGTGCCGTTTTCGTCATCAAGAGGTCCAGTAGTAAAATTTTGGCCCTCATCCCACTACATTTTGCAAAACACAACGATATATTCAGATTTATCGAACTGGTTAAAAATATCGATAATTTCTTTTCACATTTCATGTACTGTAAATTTATGTCAAAAGTAAACAGTTTTTGTAATTTTTTGCTTTATTAACTATTATACTTTTGCGTGGTGTGCAGCTGATTATTATTGATAAGCGTGAGAATTTATGTTATGTTAATTAATAAAAAAATGTATTAAATTAAATTTACCTTCGCTTGGTAAGCAAATTGGCCGCACCTTATCGGAGAATTTTAATCGATTGTCCAGTGTTAAGATGGCGATATCATTAATGTCTCTAACTGCGTTTGACGTAAAACTTGGATGTTTCACACCGTTCACCACACGAAATACGGAATGTGACGCGTCCAGGCGGTCATGCATTCCTACGTTGACCGTTAAATCACGAAAATGAACACTGATAAAGATATTAATATAATATTTATTAATCAAACCTATATTATTATAACCGTAAGGATAGTAAGTACTGATACATTAGTAAAAGAAAGGTTATGCAAATAAGTAGTAAGTAAACAAACCGAAACATGCTCGGAATTGCAGAATCCTCCAGCATTTTTATTCATTTAAACTTGGTAACATAGTTTAGATTTAATACGGAAATGTAAGTACTGATATAAGAATGAATTGAAGTGGAGTGAAGCAAAAGACATTTACATAACAGGGATAAATACAAAAACTCACTGGGCTTTTCTGTTTGAAATTTATAGCTTTGTTGGTATATATTGTTTTTTCTTTTAAAATAAAACCTCTTAGATCTAGTTTGTACTAGGTAGACCCGCGCTATAGCTGTATTATGACTGCAATTGTTCTTACAGATGACAAGCGTTAAATGGCAACATAATTCATCTGCGTTTTATATACTGGATACATATAGAAAACCGGGTATTTTTCTGGCGGCATCAAGGCAATCCATCGTAATCCTTAGGAGTGAAAAGCAATGTATCTGCTTTTTGATTTTTAATCAAATATAAATACTTAGTCAGGTCATAAGTTCTGTCAAAAACTTTTTTACTTTATAAAATTAATGATACACTTTTTGATAATTATATAGAAATTATATATGAAGTGAAAGGTAATTTAATTTAAATACAATTTTATTTACACTATTCAAAATGCATTCCCCTATTTTGAATTCATGCCTTGCGCACCACGCACCACACTCATATCTATTTCTGTCGCTGCTTTAGCCAAAGATGCTCGGAGAGATTCCAAATCTGATGAAGCTAGGCGCAGACTTTCTCCTCCAAATGTTGCCATATATTATAATCCAGTGGGCTTAAATCTGGACCAGAAGAGGACCAGTCTTCATGTCCGATAAAGTCAATTCCATGGGCGGTCAACCACTTTTGCGTGCTTCGTGCCCTTTGTGCTGATGCAGAGTCCTGTTGGAATATCCAATGTCTGTTTTTGAACATTGTAAAAAAAGGTTCCACTATGTTTGTTAGGACGGTATTTTGGTTGACCTCGGCACTGTTTTTCACACCTTTTTCACAGAAAAATACTTCAGTTAAGCCTGAATATGATACTCCAAGCCAAACTATGTGCGACGAAGGACAAGGTGCTCGTTGAACCCTCGGAATACGCGTGCTGGCTTCTTCACTGCTGTGGGCATACACTTTATTATTTTGTTTATTATAATTTTCTTCGATTTTAAAAAAAAATTCATCCGAAAACAAAATTGCGCGATATTTTTTTCGCGCGTACCTTCGTAACAAAGCGCGGGATCTTCGCGGAGTCTTCTTACGATAAGCTCGTAGTCTTAGGTTTTCATTGATCACTCTTTTGACTGTGGTTCAGCTTAGGCCCATCTGAAGGGCTAAGATTTTTCGCTTACGAACAGGATTTCGTTGGATTCGCGTCTTCACTGCTTTGATGATCGCGGGTGACCTAACTGTACGAGGTCGGTCGGTCTTCTTACGATCTTCGAAGCTTGAATCTTCAGGGAATCGTTTGATAATGCGATAAACAAATCGTAGGGTTATTTTCAATTTTTGTAGAATATTGAAAATCTCTTTTAGCGCGTAACCACAGCGGTGCAACTCGACAATCGCTACTCTATCTTCTTTCTTCGACCAATGAATGAAAATGAATGTCTTTTTTATTTTCGGCAAGCGCAAACGTTATATTTTTTAATTGGTGAAGTTTATCTAGACAGTATTCAAAAATTTTAAATAATAAGGTTTTGACGGAACTTATGACCCGACTAAGTATATGTATCTTTGGGGCACAGATTTTACTTACCATCAGGTGAACTATATGCTCTTATGTAACCGTTAGGTCTATTTACAAAAATGTCGCAAAATATTTCAATCATCACCATCATTACAGCGCTTCACAAGTCTACTGCTGAACATAGGCCTCCACCAAGTAATGCGACAAAGCACGGTCCTGAGCCACCTGCATCCAAAGACTTCCTGCATGCCTTTCAAGATCGTTACTCCATCTAGTGGGAGGACGCCCTACAGTTCGCCTGTCAGTACGAAGCTGCTACTTGAGAACCTTTTTTCCTCATCGGTTATCGGTTTTTCGAGCCATATGGTCGGCCCATTGCCACTTCAGCTTACTAATCTGTTGGGACATGTCGGTCACTCTGGTTCTACCGCGGATATCCTCATTCCTAAGTTTATCACGCAGATAAACTTCGAGTATAGCCCTCTCTATGGCCTGGTGAGCAACTTTGAGCTTCCTCATACGGCCGGCAGTGAAGAACAACGTCTCAGATCCATAACTCATCACTGACACTATTGACTGTTTTGAGGTTTTGAGGTATGCCTAACGAAAATATGTGTCGTAATCTTCCGAACGCCCAGCCGAGTTGAATCAGTCGATTGACCTCTCGGTTAAAGTTGGACTTACTTATTTAGACTACTTCTCCCAGGTAAACACACTCGTCAACAACTTCGAGCTTAGTGCTCCCAACAACCAGCGGCATAGGTGTGACATGGATATTACTCATAACTTTCGTTTGGTCCATGTTCATTTTAAAACCTGTCCGTTGACAGACACTTTTGAAGTCATTGAGCATTGTGCTAAGCTCCTCCAGCGGTTCTGTCATAAGGACTATATCGTCGGCAAATTGAGGGTGAGTGATGTACTCGCCATTGACGTTAATACTGTATCCTTTCCAGTCCAGTAGCTTGTAAACGTCTTCCAATGCAGCGGTGAAGTGTTTTTGGTGAAATAACGTCACCCTGTCTAACACCTCTCTGCAGTTGGATAGGTTTCGAACTCTGGTTCTGTATTTGGATAACCATCGTAGCCCTACTGTATAAACACTTCAGCAATTCGATATACCGAAAGTCAACTTTGCTCGCTGAAGGGACTGCAGCACCACCCGAAATTCGACGGAATCAAAGGCTTTCTCATAGTCCATATACGCAAGATAAAGTGGCAGATTGTACTTTTCGGACTTGTGTATAATTTGCCGAAGGGTATGTATGTAGTCTATGGTACTAAAGCCTTTTCGAAAACCAGCTTGTTCGGGAGGCTGGAAGTCGTCGAGTCTGCGTGCGGGACGATTTGTAATGGCTCTCAAAAACAACACGTAGACGCGGCTCAAAGGGGAAATCAGTCTTTGAAATCAGTGGGAAATCTTCAAGAGAGCGTTGTCGCCTTTCTTGGAGAACATGCCTCCGCACATCTGCTCCATGCCTCCAGAGTAGTACCACCATGGAACACAGAATTGAAGAACTTCTGAAGGATCTCTGGCGAATACGTTGTAGCCCTTGTTCTTTAATCTAATCTGTATTGAAGTTGCGTAAGTCCCGCCGCATTCATTTGGAGATCGGTCTGTTCAGTTGCCTGCAGCTTCATCTCCCGTCTAACAGCTTTCTCCCGTCTGACATTAAATATAAAACTCATATCTGCAAGTAATAATCCCGAATGTGGTCGAACTAATGTCAAAAGGTTGATTTTTTGTGAAATTTTTTGTTGTGACCTTAACGATTGACTCCTGATTCAATAAATAGTAAGCCACTTTTTATTGATTCAGGAGTAGAACTTCCCAGAAATTTCCATAAAGCATCAAAATCTTCTGGTTTTAAGCCAGTATAATATTTAAACTCTTTGACATTATTACGACATGAATCTACATTTGAAAATACATGTGCCAGTTTTTTTCTATACTTTCAATATATTTTTTAGCCGTTGAACTTCAACATCCTATTCTATCTGACTTTCCTCCTTTCCTCTTCTGTCTCCATAATGTCTACAATTGATGGTCTACCGACAGGCTCATTGCGATGATGATTAAAGTTTCTTACTCCAATATTTATTATCTGTGCACTCAGAGATACACATTTAGTACACACATAAGCATGTTTTTTATTTATTTTTTTCAATTATTAAATCGCTTCGTCGCGATTAATGAATTCACTCCAAACACTTTTTTATGTCAACTTGAGGTTTTTTGAGGCAGAAAATTTATACCATCTTGCTTGTATCGACTGTCAGAAGTGAACTGTCAGAAGTATTCACTTGATTATTTGTTTATTTGGATGATAAGACATGCATTTAATATTACTGTCAATGAAGAACTCATAACCATTGCCGCCCCCCCCCCCACTAGTACTGCCTCTGACTGATCTTTTTTAAATCTTGAGAGGAAACAGGTTAATTTAATAGTAACGTTTAAATTGAACTTCGAATTCAATATTGACTATTACACCTTTTATTATAAAGACACCAGTCAAAGTAGTTGATATCATTACGTACCCAAAAGTAATGCAGTGTCCAGCGGTAAGAATATGTAGATCTGTTATTATCGCACCGCCGCAATGCAATTTTTGACCAATCATCAGCGCTACCAACCATGGGTACTGATGCGGCTGGACGGTAGTTCCACCTACTATGCGTCTGTTTTTACCTGCTATTCCGCATTCTGCAAACAATTTATTTTAATTACTATTTTATAAAGAATAGCTAACGGCGCGGCTTATGTGCGCTCAGAGTCACATGCAACAATTTACGCAGTAAACGTTTTTTGAAGTGATTCTTATCCACTGTCCGATAAATTCGTGATCTTTGGTACAAACACCATATTATCGGTTCGAAGTACACGCACGTATAATTGGTTAAAAATGAGTCTGCGCAAATTAACGCCATCAAATTTTCCAGCGCTCGAAATTCGTGTTAATCTCTTTAATTGTACACAAACGTTTTCTCGTTATTGAGGGGTTTATAAGGCAGACAAAATTCCGCACGCACATCGCGCGTTTACTTATAGTGCTAATTGGTGATTTCCAATTAGTTTATAATATGGTAACTGTGGAGAGTGCCTAGATTCCTAAACTACCATTGGTTTGTTTTACTATTCAGACATTTGAATTATTCTAAATCGTGAATAAAGAACGTGATGAACTGTTGTGCTATCACGCACAGCCTATAACGAAACGCGATGAAACGCGAGTTGGCTTCGTAAGAGGTGATGTGACGTTAGGATATTCTAGACAGGTTTCCGAAGGCTGATGGCCGATAAATGTAGAAGCGTGTCGTCAAAGATTCGAAACGTCTGGTCATCTGGTCATTGCAATCGTCAATTCGACTAAACGTCAT